TCTCTCTCTCTCTCTCTCTCTCTCTCTCTCTCTCTCTCTCTCTCTCTTTCTTTCTTTCTTTCTTTCTTTCTTTCTTTCTTTCTTTCTTTCTTTCTTTCTTTCTTTCTTTCTTTCTTTCTCTCACTTTCGCACTCGCCGGTGGCTCACCTGTCGTACGCCTAAACGTCTTGTTGACGTTTGGTGCCGTCGACATTAGCCAACGGCTCGCGTGCGCGTCTTAGCAGCTGTGCGAGGACACGTTTTTGTTCTAGTCCTCGTACAGTGGTTATCCGTCACCCACAATTATAAAAAAAGAAGTTAAGAAACTACAATTTCACACAAAATTTTTTTGGGAAATTGATCGGTGTACGAATACATTCTACACCCACTGTATGTTGCTTCCGCTTATCTTCTAATAGTACACCCTTTCATGGATAAGCATTGTTGCAAGATACAAAATATAATGTACCAAACGAATACTTAGTCCTGAAGTGTTAAAATTCATTTATTGTATAATATGAAGGGTGGGGAAAAAGTATGAAAACCCTTAGACTTTAGTGATAAAAAAACAACGAAGGTCACACCTTAGGTAATTTTCAACGAGGAATCCAATGGTGACCTTAGATTTGATCTTGAACCTCATTTTCAAGGTCAATTGGTTTTATTTTAATGGGAACCTCTATTTTCTATGCCGGAATCGAAAAAAGCGGACAATTTTATGTTTGGATATGTACTGTAGGTCTAGGGTTAACGTGGCCACTAATCTTGCCTTTAGCGTAACCGAAGAACAACGATGCGAACGTAGAAGGAATCTGTTCGAAGGGATCTCTCGACTCTCATATTGGAGTGCTTTAACAATGGATGAGTTAATTTACAACAGATGCTCAAATTGCTCTCCATTCGTTTCCGAATAGTAACCAATCCTGTTGTAAAATGATTGAACTGCATTTCGAATCACTTCCTTTGGAATGGCATTAGCTTCTTGAACAATTCTGCCTTTTAATTCTTCAAGGTTTTCTGGAATGCTTTTGTACACCCGATCTTTTAAATAACTTCACAAAAAGTAGTCCAAAGGTGCTAAGTCTGGAGATCTTGGCAAGTGAAGCGGCAATGTGATGCAAGTGGGGTGTGTGAGTGAGGTAAGCGATATCAAGAGTCTGTTGATCGACAAAATGTATTTTTCGATGTGATGTAAGTGATATAAACGCGACTTAGGGGTTACGTTAACCCTAGACCTAAGTACATATCCAAACGTAAAATTTGTTTTTGTTTTTTTGTTTTATCACTAAACTCACGAGATGTCCAGGGGTTTCCATACTTTTTCCCCATCCTGTATATGATTGCATGTAGGGAGCTGTTTCGTTAGTACACAAAACGGCTACTAACGATCTATATATTTCTATGTATTTTATATAATATACAGCCTATAAACAAATTTACCATATTTTCACAGGTGATGGTATCCGCAGACATTCACAGTATGGATACACCGTCTCCCTTACCTACGCCAGGATACCTTCCACTGTTGTCCGAAGCCTCAACACCGCTCACACCTGCCACATTACACGGAACCCCGCACTCTGGATCACCTATACCAGCCAACAGTCCTAGAATAAGTTTCCGAAGTTTTACTTTACCGTTAGAGATCGACGACGAGCAAGGCAACGCGAACAAACTGAACAGAACTAGCGTGTCTTCCGATAAATCATCCGACTCTAGTCATAGGTTATCTGTAAACTTAGAAGGACAGAGTAACGCTAAATCCTGCGAGAGGATAATGTCGTACGACAAACATGAAGATATGTACAGCGGTAAAGAGTCTGCCAAGGCTCAGAAAACCTCGAAGAAACCGAATCTAGTAGTATCGAACGTAGTCGACCAGGAGATGACACCTTGTGATAGGCTAGCGTCTCACCTTAGCGAGACAGAGCCCAATAAAATTACGTTACCGTGCAAAGACGGAGGTAGTAGATCGAGCTCGTGTCCTGTGGATGAGAGCAAATTGTCCCGCACCGACAGCAGAGATGCATTGGACGTACGGAAACACGATACACCGAACAGCAAGTCCGTGAGCTCGCAAAACGACGATGCTATGGCTGGGAATTCAAACGCACATAGAAATGAATTGTCGGGACTGCCATTGTCCAGCGCGACTGATCTCGATTCCTCTATGTCCTATGAACAAACCATCGAGGATCTACCAGACTCTGGTTTCGTGATTTGCGACAGTTCCGACAAGATGTTTACCAACACCGAAACGCCGCAAATGGTATCGAATACTAATGATTCCGGCGAGTGGGTGATAGTGGAGAGAACCGGTTCGATCACGACGCCTACTAGCGAATCGAGCAGTCCAAAGGATCCGTTGGATGGCACCGTGAATCCCGCGATAGCAACAGACGCACCACAGTTGCGATCAATGTCGGAGAACGTTTCCAGGACGTCGTTGGATCTCACCATGGGCTCGACCCTAGACACCGACACGTCTTGTATCGGTGTTAGCGATCTGACCGAGAGTCCTGTTCTTCCTCAGGAGCCTGGGGGCATGACTTTCGACGTGGCCGACAGCAGGGAACTCGATGAACAGAACATCGCTGCGCAAAGGACATCCGGGGCTTACGATTGTCAAGTGAATTTCAGGGCGGTCGATTCTGGTCGTAATTTCTCAAATATCGTTCACTCGTCCATGTGCGACCAGGATAACGGGAATGAGAAGATGTGTACCGTCAGCATGACGGACATTCGCTTGAATCAGAAACCTAACGAAATGGAGCACGAGATCACCGCATGTTACAATCAGCTGGACAACGCGAAAGCGTTCAACAGAAACGAGGGTCCAACGAAGAAGGATCTCGAAGACGAGGAAGTTTTCGATAATTCTCAACACAGCTCGAGGAGTCTAGATTTCAAGGAACAGGATATCCGACGTTCCTTGCAGTTGCATCCGAAACCGCAGTACCAGAGCGATCGTCGTTCGTTCGCCAACGAGTCGAATAAGAACCAGGATCTTGCCGACAATAATACTCAACGTTGTCAAAATCAGAAGCCAGAAAAGTGCCAAAGTTTCGAGTATGTCTCACCAAAGGAACCGGCTAAGACCAGTCAACAGCACAAACAATTCTCACCGCGCAACGACGAGAACTCGAAATGTACCAATGTGAAAAGCAACCAGCCTCAGGAACACATCGAAGTGGTGATCCCGTCGGAGAGCGCGGCGGAACCCAGCGAGATAGCGCATCATCCAGAGGGGGCATCCGAAACAACATCTTTGAACTCGTCCTGCACGTTCTCCAACGCATCTTCTCCAGTGGACGATTCCATAGTTCTTCGCGACACGGCAACTATACTGCAAGAGCTAGCGCTTCAAAGATTATCAGGAGGCATGATGGGTGGTGATCTGTCCATACCTCCTAGAAGAAGGTACGAAGCAGAGAGCGTCAAGGATAGAAGGAGCTTCGACTCTGAGATTGGAAGAGAGATAGTCCGCGAACGGAAGATGCGACAGGAACTGGACTCAGCACGGGGAAAGTCCGAGGAACCACCCGTGAACAACGCACCGCATTTGCCACCTTGTTTGAGGGCACGTCACGCGAGAGCTACTCGTGCGTCGTTGAGTCGATCACTAGACGAGGCCAAGTTCAATAAAATGACCGAGGACGCGTGCTTGCCCGTGAAACAGGCCACAGAGGACGCGCAGCACAGCTCCACACCCAACGTTGGTGCCAGCGCGAATAACTCTGGTAATTCTGATAAGTCTCATTTGAAGAACCTCGGTGGTTTGGACCTGGGCGATCCCCAATGCAGAGAAAGGATAGAAAAGTACAAAGAGGAGAGAAGGACGTTCTTGAGGGATAAGTACAGGTCGGAAAGCTTTCGTGGGATGCTGTCGAAGGCGGAGGACGACGGAGAGCAAGCTCTTCTAACTAGGTTAAAGCAAAGAGCCTCTAGACCCTCCCTTCATTGATATTAACGTAATATTTATGAAACGCTCTGTCGATTGTCTCGCGTAAATGCCTCTAACGCATCGCGCGATAAATTATATGTGTAACTCCAGTGAACTGTTGACTGCGCTGATTGCGTTTAACCCTTTGCCCTCAGAATTTCTTGAGTCAGAGAGGATACTAGTGTGTTCTATCATTTTAAAGTATACGGTGCGATGAAAGCAAACAAAAATTAATGGCGGTAAGGTGAAAGTACCAGTAGTAGACACTTTTAAATTTTTCTTTTTCTTGGAAGTAATATTTAATTTGTTTCTTTGATTTTTTACCAAATCACTGAATTAAGCAGTGGCTTTTCTTTTATCTCTCTATACGAGTATTGCTGCTATACAGGTCGGTTAACAAGAAGCCGATTTCTGTTGCTGCGGTTTTTCAGCGGGATATGACAAGCCCAATTGATACACATATTTATGCTGTTTACATAGTGTTCTTTTTAAATCGTTTTCTTTTGAAAGAAGTTGGAGTATCATTATCGTCAATTTGTATTAGCGTAGTTTATGATAAGTCAGAAGAAAGATATAATAGAATGAACTAATATAAAACTACTAAAAAAATTATACGTAGGACATAGAAATTTTATATAATTTTTTATTTGAGCATATTTCAGTGTATAATTGCGTACATTTGTATGGTTTAAATAGCATTCCACTTGGTTACATTATATTTAAAGTTACCATTATGTTATGTATTTATATTTAATCCTTTATTCTTGGGACAGAATAATTGTTATTTATTTTCCAGAAATTGCCCGCTACTGGTGCGATTACCGTACTTTATGCTGCTGTAGCTGATACGAAGACTACCAAATTTTAATTCAGAATACATCTTTAGTTGTTCAAGCCGTTTACGACTTTGTAATAATATGTTCATTATTCCCAGAGTTACTTTTTTATTGTAACTTTGTTACTAATCATGAATACCATTATGAGTAGATAAGAACCATGAATTGAAATCTCTTTAATTACAAATCACGTTTAACGGACGATTGTATTTAAACAAATCTATTCAAAGACCATGAATAATAAAAGAAATATTTTGTCCGCGTTCAGGGTATTTTTAAACGACAAACCACCCCATTTTTGTTTGAGACTTCTGTATAGTCTCAAGTTTAAAGAACGCGCGCGTAACCAAATTTTTTAACGATGAAAAGCTTTACCAATCTCTCGAAAAAAATACATCTTTCTGCCATATTTGCCAAAAAGTATTATCGTGCGTTTACAATAATATTTACAACTTTTTCTTTATTAGAGATTTGAAATGTCTCCGACAAATGCATTTATTTGCCGTCTATTAAAGAGTGTAAAGGGTTAAAGCATAAAATTCGGGAAAAGTTAATCGAATGCGAGCGACATAATGATATTTAATGAAAAAAATGCAAGTTTTTTACGATCGAGGCTGAAAAATCAATAGAGAGAAGAACGTTCGTTTTGTCAGTGTCGTTAACAGAACAGTCCGATAACTTGAGTGTTTTTTATTTATTATATATGTATATGTACACGTAATCGCGATTATGTGTATTAGATTATTTCTGTTATTGTTACGAATCTTTAAGAATCATTTTCCATTATTGTTATTATCCCTCCCAAAGATGTCTGATTAGACTTTTTGCATTTGTCGCGCTGTTCTGTTAATCGACTGGTTTTATAATCGATCGGTTGCGATCGATGCCAGAGTTTGGGTCCACGAAACGAGTTCGTTGTAAACCCTTTGCACGCGAAATTTATCAATTTTTGTCGCCGATGGCAACGGTCGACAAACTTGTTTCGAATATTATTAGGAAAGTTAAGTTTAAATCGAACAAATTTATATTATAATACTCTGTAATGTTTACAAAAAATGAAAGATTGAAAAAAATGATCTTCGAGTGATGCATGTGTAAGAGATATATACATATAGTCTATAAACATTGTAATGGGTTCTCGTTTTTTCTCTGTCGGCGTTGTTCGCGCGTAGAAACAAAAAATCTTGACTGTAAAACTGTAAATTCTATGAATTAACTATACATTCGTTTAATAGCTGATCTCCAATCGCACACCGGGTGCAAAGGGTTCAATTATAATATTGTAACCGCCGCATGCCTTCGTAATTGATTAACGTAACTATATAGTTGAGTTAAGAGAATCGAGACGCTTCCGTTTTCCTGTAATTTCGTTGTTTGCTGATCGAACCGAGTATTTTTGTACGACGAAGCGTTCACCATGGATAAAAGTTTGTTTGTTCGATGATCAAAGCGTGTAATCCGGAGAATTTTCTAGCTTGTCAGTCCATCGCGGTCCAAATTTGCCGATTTCATTACATTTTCGTCGAACCTCGCTCGACACGCGATCGCAAAGGGTTAGGCGTTTCCCTTTTTTTTGTTTTACTTGGGCCGATCGTTCGACTCTATCTTGTTATCAGCACCGTTTTCCTCTTATCTTTCTCATTTTATATTCGTTTTACGCTGTACGTTTTTCACGCCGATCGCTTGTCACAACTAAGAGATAACACACACGTAGTTAGAAATTTTTTTTTAAATATGTTACACCGTTTAATGATTAATGTCGGAGATGTTAGAATACTCGTTAACTGTTCGTGTTCAATTTCTTCTACTTTATTACTATTGTTACTACTATTATTTTTAATTTTGTATGCTAAAAGAATTCTGGTAGGACGAATTCTTATTCCCATGTTTTGCACGCTGCTCGATTCACGTGGATCGGAAAAATTCCCATCACTTTATCGTTCATTTCGCCCGTATTAACCTAAGTGTTCGATAACACGCGTCGATATATTTTCTTTTCTTGCTGTGGACTGGTCCGCGGCGGTCTATACGTCTTTTGTATATGCTTATTATTATTTAGTCGATATGTAATATATTAATTTATATATTCTACTTTGATTATCTATGAAAAGACAACCTTGCTCGAAATCAAGATTACTATCGGAATCAACTATTTTCTTTACATTCAGAGAAGATTCAGCAGTCTGTTTAGTTACTCGAATGGCGGTATTGTCGCGAACTTTACTTAACACTTTAACTACCGAATTGTTTAAGAATATTGTACAAGTTAGAAGAGGTCATTCTACATTAGTATAGATATATTAATTAGATTTATTATCACATTGCCAACCCAATTAGAGGATATCCTTCTTTGCGTTACTTTTGCTGTTAAGGCATTGCTGTTAACATTGCTACAATTGTGCTTTTACAAACATAATTAATAAATGTGTTTATACTAGCTGCAATCAATTTAATACTAAAATTATAGAGTTCGATACTTACTACATATACAACTATGTCTTTGTAATTAGAGGAAGAAGGAACAAACTAATTTGTCAATCAAATTAATTTTCTATAACAACAATTTATTACAATATTCTTATCTAACAAGTGCATATAATCAATGAAGTATTAGTGTTTATTCTTGGAAAATTTTTCAGTGTTTCATTGAGTGCTATTAAAAAATGTACAGGAGTTATAAAAGTTTAAATTAAGTTATGTTACCGTTCAAAGTTCGTGAAAAGTCTACGGTTGGCAATGCGTTAACAGCCTTACTTGTTTTCTTATTTGTTTGTGAATTGAATACTGTAAGTAGAGAACCAACAATACAGTTTACAGATTCCAAAGAAGTAAACGCTGGATTTAAAAAGCTTACAAATCGGTTTCCGGTAGATAAAGTGTTGAAAGAGAATGATTTGTTCGTTGGAAAATGATTTCACTTGGCGTAGAGATTTTCGTTGTGTCACGAAATATACAGAAAGCTCAATTTATATTTTTTATACATTGATTTATTTACTCTAGTATTATTACACTTTCATTAGTGAAAAAGCGAGCAATAGTTTTCAGTTCAGAATCCTATAATCTGCACATCGTCTTAATATTTAATTACAAACTTCAATTGCGCATTTTAATTTTTTTTATTTCTTTTGCAAATCATTCATACTCCACGAAAAGCAACGTGAACTGCTGTAACACATACTATTCCTGAATCTATCATCCGTGAGATTTGTATTGTCGACTTAGACGATCATATCCAGTCCTTTTAAAAAATTGGATCTTTTCCAAAAAAAATTCGGTTTCCACATTTCCCCTGATAGTGGGACGCGCGTATAATCAAAACGAATGCAGGAGTACAATTAACAGTGTCTATCTCGAAATCTAATACAACATCAGTGTATTGTACATTGTGATTTCCGACGAATCGAGCCAAGAGACTCGAAGGATCGTCCATTTGTAACTTTGATAATGCTAAAAAACGAAAAGTCAAAACACACACACATTATGTCCAAGAAGTTGTTGCATGAAACTGGCGAAGTTACGTGAGACTTTTTAATCCATTATATTGCACGAAGTTCGTATAAAGGGTAACTAAAACATTTGACGAGAACTTTATGATTTACTGTACAAGAAATAGACAAAAAATGTCCAGTTAATACATAGTAAATCTGTGAATATGATGAATTAATTAAGGGTTTCTGTTCTTTTTATTATAGTAGAATTTCGCCCTATATTATAATATACAGTATACAATAATATTTATACAGAAAGATTTGCATAAGGAATATAAATAGTGACAAAAGAGTTTGATGTAACTACAGTCGAATCAATTTTAATTGGCCGTTCAGAGACACTTCCTCTTCTATGATTTATTTTACCTTTAGGCAATCTCAACTTTCTCCTTTGTTTAGGAATAGAGGATACTGCATTTCGGTGGCCTTGAGGAGTCAATTGATATTCATCATCAGAAACTCGTATGTTACCACCATAGAATTAATCTTGTAAAGCTTTGCTTCCTGGACATTTTTAGTCTATCTCTACATGAGCCTCGTAACTCTTTGTCCTATTTTTTAGAACACCCTGCGTACACTACGATATTAACACTTTGCGATCCGATATTTTGCATATTTTTTTAATGCTACAATAACGACGTAGTGCACACAACACAATCGTTTCTCTGTAAAAGGAAAACCAAACGCGACGACCAAGCACACCGGGTACTTGAGTCGAAATCTTTGCAAAAATACTTGAGGCTACTTGTTACGCTTCTATTTTAAAAGAATTACTACTTAACGAAGATACAGTACTCGTAGAAGTGGTAAAAAAAGGTGTTTTTTAAATTAATGTTAAACGATTACGAGTGAGTGGAAAATGTTGAGAAACAGACGTTGCAAAACGCGAAGAGATAATTAAATTAGAAGGCATTAGATAGCGAGAAGTATTTCAATATTGCTAACTGTAAGAGTTGGCGGTGTAGCGATACAAATTGAAACAGTTGAATATTCCTCGTCCGATCACTCTTTTCGCTAGTATTTCTCTTGTTCGATGTAAACATAGTTCACGGTGATACTTTGTTGATGCGTTTACGGACTATTTATAGATTGTACGAGGCAAACATTTCCATAGTAGATACCAAGACACGACTGCGACGATTTGCATAAAAATGCTGCAAGTTGTTTCAATAGTATCGATATTGCATTTTCTGGTTTCGTATGTAACGATGAATTTTTAGTTGAGCATCGATCATTCGAGGGACTGAAACACTTTTCATCTAATTAACTTCTAAAAATATATACTTAATTCAAGTTTATATATTTTAAACAGAGCTTAGTTTATAAGCTTGACTATTGCATTTGATATTCTAAGAATATAGAAATATCTGCTTTCGGATTTTTCAACAGAAATGGGAAAATTTCTTATGAAGATACAAATTTGGAATAATTTGAGTTACTCTCCGTTTTTTGCTCAGTCAAAATCACTTGTTTTTTTATTATTGTTTATGTTTACATGTATTCTGATGATTTTAACGAGGTACCCCCATTTACAGATAAATATTAATAATAGTATGACTTATGAAATGAGTTTATATTTCATGTTGAATAAATGGAAGTTTATGTTAATATAGAACTACAGAATAGATCATTGTATGATATTTTTATTAATTATTATATGAATTAAATTTTGTCCATTTCTGTCTTACAATACTTGTCAAAAATTCGTGTACAGAAAATGTAATGTTACCTAACGGTTAAACAAATATGTAACTGCAACTCCGTACCATAAACGAGG